GGGGAGGGACGGGCAGGGGCCCGGGAGACCGGGCCGGGGGACGGAGGGGGTAGGGAGCCAGGAGGGAGGAGGGAGGAAGGGGGAAGAGAGGGAGGGGAAAGGGGGACCACAGGCCAGATGGACTTTGAAGGACTGATGCAGAGGAGGTGAAAGGACCGGCCCAGTGTGAGGCAGGGACCAGGGCGGACTAGAGGGGCGCAGTCCAGAGGGCTGACCTGGGCAGCAGACAGCAGACAAAAGCATAGAGTGAAGCTGGGACCGGGAATTTCAGGACCAGGGACCTAGGAACGCTGGGACAGTGCGGAGGGGAGACAGGGAAGGACAGTGGGTGCAATAAGTAGGACGCAGGAGGATGGGGGAGACTGGAAGAGGACAGCTTGGGAGGGGTCGTAGCAGACAGCAGAGGAAGCAGGGTCTACAAGGGGGATTGGAGGCCCTGGGCAGTTCAGAGGTGACATTTGGACAGATGGACCAGGAAGTATTGAGAGAACGCGGGATGATGGTGGTGGGAGCTGCTCCATCAGAAAACAGTGGCCTGTTTGGGGACAGGGAGATACAAGCATCCAATTGGTGCTCAGCCCAGCCTGTCCCTTCCTCCCAAGCAGGAATCTGCACTGAAGGCCCTGGGGACAGATGGACTTTTCCTCTTTTCTTCCCTGGACACGGATCGGGATATGTACATCAGCCCAGAGGAGTTCAAACCCATTGCTGAGAAGCTGACAGGTACCAGGAGAGGCTGGTGGCTGGGGTGGAGGGAAGATCTTGGGTCTCTGTGGCCCAGGGTTCCTCCCCACTCTAACACTTTCTAGCTGTTGGCTTAGGGGAACTGCTTCAGCATCCCTAAGCCTATTTTCATGTTGGTGAACAATAATGCTGGTTAACATTCCTTGGCCACCTCCCAGGTAGCAGGCATCTCTTTAAGCCAGTGCAAGACAAGGCACAGACAGGTTCACCAATTTGCCCAAGCTAGAAAGATGGAGAACCAGGGATGGAACCTGGGCATTCTGGCTCCTGGGTCCTGCACAAACTCACAGGTTTGAAGATTACAGAAAATCTAATCGCTGCCAAGTGACCAACATGCAGCTGATATCAGTCAGCAGGAGCCATACCTGTTACTACTAAATCTGAAACTCTGCTTAGCTGCAGTCAGATCTCTGTCCCATTCTTTTTAAATTTATTCATTTATTTTTAAGTCAGGGCTCTGCCCTGTCACCTAGGCTAGAGTACAGTGGCATCATCATAGCTCACTGCAACCTCGAACTCCTGGGTTCAAGTGATCCTCTTGCCTCAGCCTCAGGTACATACTACTAGATCTAGGGAATGTTTACATTTTTTTTTTTGTAGAGGTGGGGTCCTTGCTATTGCCCTGACTGGTCTTGAACTCCTGGCCTCAAGCAATCCTCCCACCAAGGCCTCCCAAAGGGCTAGGATTACAGGCGTGAGCTATCACACCCACCTCTGTCCCATACTTACTATTCTTTTTTGTCTAGTTGTAATCAGTGAATTTTTCTTTTTTTTCTTTTCTTTTCCTTTCTTTCTTCTTCTTTTTTTTTTTTTTTTTGGTAAAGATGAGGGCCTGAAACATTCTAATGAATATGTAAAATGCTTTTCTCACTGCCCTCCCCTCCCAACTCTGTGTCCATTTCCCTCCAGCTTCTCTTGACATTCTACTATTATTGACATTCTGA